CCTACGCCTCTGTGTAGATTTCCGAGGACTCAATAAAATCACAAAGAAAGACCGCTACCCTCTTCCCCTCATTTCCGACCTTCTCGATTCTCCGAGCCGCGCTAAAGTTTACACTAAAATCGACCTCCGGTCCGCTTACCATCTAGTCCGGATGGCGGAAGGAGACGAGTGGAAAACTGCTTTCCGGACGCGCTATGGCTCCTATGAATGGTTGGTTATGCCTGAGGGCCTCACCAATGCTCCGGTGGCTTTCCAGTGCTTTGTCAACACCATCTTCGCCGATATGCTTGACATATGTGTTATTGTGTATCTCGACGACATCCTCATTTATTCCGCAGACCTTGCATCCCATAAAAAACACGTCCTTGAAGTCCTCCGACGCCTCCGGAAGCATCGGCTATATGCTAAACCGGAGAAGTGCGAATTCCATTCCGACTCTGTAGAATACCTCGGTTACCTCCTATCTCCGGCCGGACTTACAATGTCCTCCGACAAAGTCCAGACTATCTGTGACTGGCTGGAACCTCGGAAAGTCAAGGATATTCAATTGTTCCTCGGATTCGCTAACTTCTATCGTCGTTTCATCTTTAACTACTCGGATATTGTAGTTCCGCTTACGTGGCTCACCCGCAAGGATGCCCCCTGGAATTTCTCCAAGGATTGCCGGAAATCTTTCGAAACTCTCAAAAAAGCCTTCACTATGGCTCCGGTGCTTACACACTGGATGCCGGATGTTCCTATCATTGTTGAGACAGATGCTTCTGATTATGCCATCGCCGGAATACTTTCTATTGTATGTCCGGACCAGGAGCTCCGCCCGGTTGCCTTTTACTCCCGAACCCTTTCGGCTCCGGAACTCAACTATGACACCCATGATAAGGAACTCCTAGCTATTTACGAAGCTTTCCGGTCCTGGCGACACTACCTTGAAGGCTCTGCCGAGCCGATAGACGTCATCACAGACCACAAGAACCTTGAGTACTTCGCTACCACAAAACTCCTCACCCGCCGCCAGGCCCGCTGGTTGGAATACCTTCATCAGTTCAACCTCATTATCTGTTTCTGACCCGGAAAACTCGGAGCAAAGCCCGACTGCCTAAGTAGACGTTGGGACGTCTACCCCAAAGAGGGGGATAAGGACTACGCTCAAGTTAATCCACACAACCTCCGGCCGATATTTACCACAGAACAGCTCGCTTCGTCCCTCCGGGCATCACACCTAGCAATTCCGGTGCTCCGGACAGCTGTACTGATGGATGTCGAGCAGCTTCATAAGGACATTCTGTCCGCCCTCCCTAATGACCCTATCGCTTCCTGTCATCTTCCGGGTCCATCGGACCCGAGATGGACAGTGGACGAGAGTGGTTTCCTCCGTTGCGACAACCGTATATACGTTCCAGAATCCAATGACCTCTGTCTCCGAGTGCTCTGGAATACGCACGACCACCTGCTATCTGGACATTTTGGTCAGAACCGGACCCTGGAAGTTATCCGTCAGGAATATACCTGGCCCGGAATCCGCGCATATGTGAAGGACTATGTTAAGTCCTGCACGACCTGCGCCCGAGCTAAAGTTCCGCGACACAAACCATACGGATTATTGAAGCAACTCCCCATTCCCGAGAAGCCGTGGAATTCTATATCCATGGACTTCATCGAACAACTCCCTGATTCCTCCGGCTTCACAGCCATCCTGGTAGTCATAGATCGACTATCCAAGCAATCCATATTCATTCCGACCTACGACACCATCACCTCTCCGGACCTCGCCCGGTTATTCCTCCTCCATGTGTTTTCCAAACACGGAGTTCCGTCCCATGTCACTTCCGATCGCGGTACGGAATTCGTTTCCCACTTCTTCTGGTCGCTCGGAAAAGCACTCGACATGATCCTCCATTTCACCTCCGGATATCATCCGGAAGGCGACGGACAAACCAAGCGAGCTAACCAAACCTTAGAACAATACCTCCGGATCTACTGCAACTATCAGCAGGACAATTGGTCGGAACTGTTACCCTTGGCCGAGTTTGTGTACAACAACACTCCGAGTGCTACCACCAGAGTTTCGCCATTCTTTGCCAATAAGGGTTATCACCCGAACATTTCCATACATCCGGAGCGTGATCTTTCCTCCGCCCGCGCCCGGGATTATGCTATAGATTGAGATGAGCTTCACCAATTCCTCCGAGAAGAAATGTCCCTTGCCCAAGCAAGATATCAAGGACCCGCGGACGCTAGACGGAAACCCGCTCCGGACTTCAAAGTCGGAGATCAGGTCTTTGTCAAAGCAAAATATTCCGCTCGACCCGACCATCGAAAAAGCTCTCGGAAAAGAATCTCGGACCATTCCACATCATCGCTCGTCCCGGCACCCACTCCTTCACCATCCATCTTCCAGACGCTATGCGATCTGTGCACCCCGTATTCCATGTCTCTCAGTTAGAACCCGCAACTCCGAACACTATTCCTAATCGCATCCAACCTCCTCCGCCTCCGGTATTAGTCGACGGAGAACCAGAATACGAAATCTCCGAAATCCTGGACTCCAAGATCGACCGCCGGAGACGTCACTGCCAACTACTATACTTAGTACGTTGGGCCGGATATGAGGGGACGGACAAAGAAACTTCCTGGATACTCGCAACCGAACTCGGAAATGCGCCGGAACTTCTATCGGATTTCCACTCGGCATATCCGGATAAGCCGGGACCAACTTCTAACAAAGAGTAAAAAAGGACATGCATATATGTACGTTATTTAGGCGTCCGATATCCGGACTTCGGATCCGACGACCTAAGAGTCCATCTCCATATCTCCGCTGGATCCGCCGGCCTCCTTTTCCGCCTCCTCAGCATTTTCCTCCTCCAGAGCATCCTCTACATGCATCCGGAAACCGCCCCTCAGACTCTCCATGAAGAGAGTCTGAAACTCCCTCTGCTCCTCCATGAACCGGAGCATGGTCTCACTCACCCGGTCCATCGCAGCTCTACTTCCCTCCGCCGCTGCAATACCCCTCTCCATCAGCCCATTCGTCCGGGCCAGTTCCGCAACAATGTTGTTGGTGGCTGCGACCCAGGCCTGGTCGTCGTACTCCGTCCAGTCTTGATCCTCTCCAATAACCGTCCGGGGATTGGAGACTATTTCCACGTCGTCGTCGATGTCCTCCGGACTGCGCTGACGTCTTTTTCCCTTGCCCTTGGGGCTCGGAGATCCCTCCAGACGCGCACGTTTCTTGCCTTTGCCTTTGCCGGCCGGCGCCTTAACAGGCGGATTTCCGCCGACGCACTTTTCCTTGGATGTGCGGCACTGGTCGCAAGTCAGGATCTTTCGGAAATCATCAGTAATCATCTGGATCCGGACAAAACAGAAAACTCACCCTAGGCGTCCTAGACGCTACTGCCCAGGTACAAATCTTGCGCCTAAGGACGCACATCTCACATGCAACCTCCGGATCCGCTGGACCAGAGGACTAACATGTTGTTAAACTCCGGAAAAACACAAAAAACCTCATCCGACTCACCTCTGACGCATTACCCATCCTAGCCTTTGCCAAACGTTCCTGCTCGCGCTCAGCCAACCTTTTCCGAGTCTCCTCGATATCCTTCCGTTTCTGTTCTTCCATACATTTCCGTTCCTCTTCCGCCTCCTTGCACTTGTGTTCCTCTTCCTCTGCCTCTCTCCGAGCATCCGCCTCGAGCCGCGCAATTTCGGCCGCCATTTCCGCCTGTCTCTCTTCGAGAACCTGCCGGGCGGTCTTCTTGTTGCCGGAAGTGGAGTTAGACATGTTAAAAGCAGTAATAGGAGTTAAAGGGAAAGTTTTAGACATCTCATGGGCGCCCCGGCCTACTTATATGCTCAGTGCTATTTTTACGAGCTCCACCCATCATCTCGCATTCATAAAAGTCCGGTCCGGACTTCCGGATCAGAAGCCTCGTGGGCTCGGCCCTAAAGGGGGGATACTGTCATATCCCGTGTTCCGGGTCCGGACCTATCACACTCATCATTTCCGGATCCGGCCGACTTCTATGTATCGTCCGGATCCAACCCACGTCTAATTTCCGTGCCTTATCCCTTTGGTATTTCCCTTATCAGTTAGTACACTTTATTTTCCATCCCTTATTCATTTCCGTCTTCATTTTACTAAGTTCCGATAGACTAGTGATAGTCGTCCCATATGTTTTCTCCATAGCTTTACATAGCCTCACACTGCACTTACTGTTCTCCGTTATGTCCTCAGTAGTATATAAACCCCTGTACAGTCTCTGTAGTTTCCTTAGTTCGAATATCATCTTAGACTCTGCCCATTACCTCCTCCGTCCGACTTGAGTTTCTCTCTCGTCAACCTCCGCTCGTCTTAGGATTGACTCCTATAGACTTATCACCTCCGCCTCTACCTTTGGTAGTCCTCCGCTGTTTCCTTTCTAGTTCGGACTTCGTCCGGATTAGTCTTATCTCTTGTTTCCGAACGTCCGCCGGATTCCCGCGCATCGGACATCGGACTCCAGACATCGCCCGACGCCCTCCGGACATCGTCCGGTAACCTTCGGACATCGTTCGACAGCCTTCGGAAGTTAGGGGCACGTACTTGGGTAAGGGGCGCAGCGCACGAGCTGAAGCCAAGCCCTTCGGATCCGACCCTTGAGCACGTTCTTAACAGATCCTGAGCATGCTGAGATATCAAAACATCGCGCCAGTTCTGGGCCTGAGGAAGAGGGCGAGGGCTTTCCTTGTAGACATGTTCCAGCCAGGTTGGGCAGCATGCCAGCCAGTTGGCAAGGTACTTCATCAATGATTGCGGGAAAGAACGTTGACGAACAATCTCGGATTGGGAAGCGAGTAACCGTCGTCCATTTGGTCCCTGGGATGCTTGATGCGGAGGAATTCTTTCTTGGCTTCCTCCAAAGCTATCTTGAAGAAAGAATTCATAGGCGGCATGTAAGGGTGATCTATGTTAGACCATTTATTGCGGCCAGATGCAGCTTTGTTCTGACGAGGAGCAGTTATATCGTCTGAGGAATAAATTAGACACGGCAGCCATGAAAGAAGACAGCTGAACATACACGGCACAAGCTTTACTTTCATTTTCGCCTTCCCTTTGTGTACGGGAGCCTTTCCTACCAATGACTCCGTCATGACCAATTCAACTTGAGGTTTTGGAGCGGGCAACTTCTCAAAGTTGGAATACGCCTGACGCGCGGCCTCATGACACCGGCAATTATTCGGACCTCTAGCAATGATGTCGAAGGGCTGAGCAAAGAGTTTGAGGGGATCATGATATATGCTGATGACGAGGTCATCGGGTGGTGTGAACAAGACAACTTTAACAATGTTCATATTTGAGGGGATAAGTCTAGCATCGCGAATAAGCCAGACAGGAACTCCAGCAGCATGTACTTTTGTGGCGATAGCGACGTCTTGAGTGAAACACCCCATCCATTTAGGGTCAACCTTATGGGTAGTGTCGACAAATCGCATGCGGGGCTCGATTACTTCATAGAAGTCTAGAACCACCCAGATATCAAGAAATCGGCGCTGATATTCAGCAACGACAATGACAATGTCGCACCAGGCCATAGCTTGCTGGAAGCGCTCATAGACGGCACGCATTGCATGTACCCACCCAACAACATGATCCTCTTTATGCATCCTTGCGATCTTGTAGCTGCTAACCCACTTGTTGGCCTTCTCGTACAATCACTTGAGATGGCCGAGAATGTCCATCTTGAGCTGACCAAAAAGACTACCCACAGCCAGGGGCACGAAGTTGCTTGAGAAATTTGGCCTGAACCACGCATATGTCATGCTTGCGTCGTCCAGATAGGCTTTCCGGCGTGGGATTGCGAAACTTTGAGCGTACAGGTCATCATACGTCTGTGGCCACTGAAAAGGATCCATGGCCCAATATCTGCCATCTGCCCACGCTTGAATTATATCGGATTCGTTGTGGAAAGGTTGAGGAATGAACTTCATGTTAGGAGTGGTGATGACTCGGTGGCCATATGTAGCCACACAGAAGGCATCGGTAGCTGTGAGATAACCTGGACATAATCAGTCAAGGACAGTAGAAGTACAAAGATGTTAAAATGCACGGTCACTAAAATGCGTGAATGGTTTGAACACAGGGATCGACATGATGGGAGCTCCAGGAACAGCGATACTGAGAATAGGGAATCACACAGCGACTTGAAGTCACTGAGGAATGAAATTTAAATCACACAACAACTCGAAGTCACTGATGATTTAAATGCTACCATGAAGGCAGATAGTGAGATGGTGTTGAGAGATTGAAGAGAAATCTAATGAAGGCGTGATGTCAGTAAGTATAGCACGAACAAATATAATGAATAAGATTACAATGAAGGAAGACAGGATTCTTGAGCGAAGTTGAGATTCTAGTTAGAGGATAGATGATGTCATGATATGGTGATGAAATAGAATGAATGTGCTTACCCACAAAAGCCAACAGCAGTCTTAAACAAATTCTGGATGTCAGTAAGAGCGTTAAAGGATCAGTCAAGTGAGACAGAAAGTTGTGAGACAGAAAGTTGTGAGACAGAAAGTTGTGAGACAGAAAGTTGGAGATAGTTCAGGCGGCTGAGGATAGTTCAGGCAGTCGAAGACAATTGCGCGGTTGAAAAGAATTCTGACGGCTTAAGACAGTTCTGGGTGTGGAAAACAATGCTGGTTGTGGAAGACAATTCTTGCTGTAGAAAATAATGCTGGTGGCTGAAGACAATGCTGGTGGTGGAAGCGAGATACTGCCAGTGGAGGACAAGATACTGCCGGTGGAAGACGAGACTGCCGACTGAAGTCTAAGCAATCGATCGCAGCAAGCAACACGAAGTTACTGCTCACAGTGCATCTACCACGAAGGTAGACTATAGAGGTCAGGGGGTGCAAACCATGATGGGGGATGAAGCTAAGTTGGGTGGTGAGCAAGGTGAACGATGAGGAAAAGGAGGTTGGGGATTAAAGTGTGAAGTCCATGCTTCGAATCACTGTGGGAAAGCCCATGCCTAGTCCGGGAAAGCCCAGGTCAAGGCCTGGGAAAGCCCGTGTTTCAACTTCCAATTTTGACAATCTTAATACTAATTATGGAACCTGTCGCCCATAATAGACACACTGTGAAAGGCGGATAACGACTTTGATCAGCATGGCTCAAGCTTGAAGGAGGATCAACACACTCACCCGCTGCGAACAGCAGACAACGACCTGGATCAGCATGGCTCGAGCTCAGAGGAGGTTCAACACACTCACTTCCTGCGAACGGTGGACAATGACTTGTATCAGCATGGCAGTTGCTTGAACGACAATCAACACACTCACTTCCTGCAAACGGCGGACAATGACTTGTAGGATGATTGTAACGATTTTTGGTTGAATTCATATTTAGATAGATAGACTTTTTGTATATTCAAGTAATTCTTGACATTTTGTGATATTTGCATCCCACATTATCGTCTTCTAGCAATTTTATTCCTAATTCTTGTAATTAGATAGAATTATCTGAATTAGAACTTTTAGCGAAAATTATAACATTTTTTCCCTGGGAGGGTTTTCCTGATGACTGTGCCTATTTGTACAGATTGTAATACTTTGTGACAGGCTTGTAAAGAGGGGACTTTGTTGTGGGCTTGTGCCATTTGTACAAGATTGTACAATGACCCCCTAGTTTGCTGATGTATAGGGGTTTGTTTTGTGCATGCTTCACAATCAGTATGCTAGCAAAAGCAGCCCATGATGGGCGTGTATTATTATTTGCGAGGAGGCCTTTCTAGTGCTGCCATGGTCCAGTCCTGAACCATGGTTCGAACCGGACTTTTGGTCCGGTTCTCCTGTGGTTCGGTCCACGGTCCAGGTGTCAGCCAGAACTGGACCACAGTACGGTTCTCGGTTCTGCCATTGGGTGAACGGTTCGACTTTGGTTCGGACCGGTCCCAAACCGTTCCGAACCGCGAACCGAAAGAAGCTTGCCACATTGTTGAAGTGCCCTTCCTTTGATGATCCACTTCGGCCTCAGGGATTCTCAAGCTTCAAGATTTACTTGTTTCCATCAAATGCAGAGGCCCATTGACAAGGTTAGTCATGATATGCACTGTTCAAACTGATGAATCAGACCACACGTCTCATTGTGCAACTCCTCCCACAAGCCCATCGTCCCACTCCCGCAAAACCACCGCCTCCACCCCTAAAATCAATGTGCCGACAAAGACCAAGGCAACCAAAACCACTGAGTTTGAGGTGTCAGGTGAGTGACCTCTTCACCTTCAATTAATTTGATGCACGCTCTAACTCTTTCGCTTGTGCTCGCTATCTTGCGCCCGTTTTCTCATGCTTGCTCTCTCGTACCTGTCCTCTTGTGCCCATTCTCTCGTGTTAACTCTCCCACCTGTTCTCTCAGGCCACGCCCCATCTTTCATGCCCTCCTACTTCCCGATGTCACTTGGTATTGAGACCATCAACTGCGGCACCACAACAAGTGCCCGCCACGTCACCTGCGTCTTTGCTACGAAGAGCGGTCCGTTATGATGAAATGTCTTGCACCCTTGCTCTTCAATGCACATCCATTCTCTTCACAAACTCCATGGTATTCTCAACTCTATCTAACTACATTGTTTGTTCACTTTCTCCTTTGAACTCACACAGCCGCCTTACAATTGGACATTCTCCAGGACTCCTCATTTCAATGATGTCTCACTATGCTTTAGGTAGTACGTTGCGCATGTAGACTCGACTCTGGTTGGGCAACTTACTTTTTTTTTACCATCCTATATAGATACAGCCTCTCCAGGACTCCTCGGACTTGGCAACCCCATTGAGGCAGGCACCACTCCCGCACCATCAACATATCATCCAACCCTCATGAGTCCCCCATTCTACTAGCTGTTGATGCATCAAGCATCTTAGATACAACTCGTTCCGTCCCATGTATGTACATGCGCAATGACATTGATATATTTCTCTTCGCGTGACTCAGCGGAGTGTATTGTCGCCAGGACAGGTGCTGTTGTTAGTATTGTGGAGGGATACAGAGCTCGTAGTGCTGCCGCAGTCAAAGTACTTCGATTATATGTATTTTTTGCTAGCTGTAGAAAAAATTGGGTCCGGTTCGCGTTCGAACCAAAAAAAAACCGAACCTGACCGCTGTGAACCGTTCACAAAGGTTCGGTCCAAAGTTCATCGATAAAGGTAGAACCGGACCTTGGTCCGGTTCTCGGTTCTCATCAAACTGCCTCTGAACCGGACCGAACCGGACCGCGGCAGCACTAGGCCTTTCAACCACTTAAGCTCGATTGCATCATTTCGGTGTTTTATATGAAACATGTTTTTGCCGCCTTGGTTGATACGGTTGCTCGCATAAGGTCTTGGCTCAAGTTGGGCTCAAGGCAGGTTTTGCCTTGAAGTTGAACTCGTAAGTGAATATAAAGGGCATGGTGATAATAGATTGAAACTGTGAGCGGAGTGCCATAATATTATAGAATACTGTTGGTCGTCATTCCAATGGTCCGGCATTCTGCAGTATCACCATGCATTATGTGTGCTAGAACGCTCCGCATCAACGCTATGGCATTAAGCTATGATAAGAGAGAAGATCCGACTGGCAAGCGATACCATGTGATTACTTGGACCAAACTTGGACCAGTATTTAAATTGATGTCATGCGGCTGTATTGTGCGCACGCTTACTTTCTAGCTTTGTTATTCGCTTTCACCAACATGTTCCGCGTCGCATCACGAGCACTCCGAGCTACCAAGCATCGTCCAACGAGACTGGTCGAGCCAGCTAGGTACGTGGTCTTCAAGTTGCAGGGGTTGTACAAGTCGCTGCAATCCCTTACCCAGAACATTCTTTGTGTCTGCAATACGGACAGAGGGACTCCGACTCAACTCGCTGGATACATTCACGGAGGAGGAGAACATGTTTCGTGATTCGGGTATGTTGATCTTTGTATCTACTTGCGTTCGAGACACCGATCACATATGTTTAGTGAAGCGCTTCGCGGTAGACGTAGTTGGCCCCAAGGTCCGCGAAATGGACGAGAAAGAATCTATGGACCCAACTATCATTCAGGGTCTTTTTGAGCAAGGGGTCAGCATCCAAATACGTCTCTTTCTAAAGCATGCTAACACCACTCTGCAGCTCATGGGAATAGAGACAAGCGCCGAGCACGGAGGTGCAGAGGCCTCCTTTGTATCCGCAATTATTGCAATCGAGGAGCTTGCAAAGATAGACCCCTCCGTATCTGTCATGTGTGATGTGCACAACACCTTGGTGAACACTATTCTGCGCACGTACGGCACGAAGGAGCAGCAAGACAAGTGGTTGCCTTTGCTGTCGGAGTCAAAGGTGAGTTGAACACGAACTTTCCTGCATGTGCGCTCATGTGTACATATAGCTTGGTTCATTCTGCTTGTCCGAGCCTGCGTCAGGTTCAGATGCTTTCGCGCTGCAGACAAGGGCAAAGAAGGACGGAGACCATTGGGTTATCAACGGATCCAAAATGTGGATCACCAATTCGCATGAGGCTGAAATCTTCCTCATCTTTGCCAATGTGAATTCTGCTTGTTCCCGCTTTACGTTATTGGCTGAAAGAGCCCCTAGGTCGATCCAAGCAAGGGCTACAAGGGTATTACTTGCTTTATTGCAACGAAAGAGATGGGCGTGCAAATAGCCAAGAAGGAAGAGAAACTTGGAATTAGAGCGTCATCGACATGCACACTTAATTTTGACGATCTCCGAGTACCAGCTGAGAACATCATAGGCGGTGAGGGCAAGGGCTACAAGGTCAGTAGTTTGATTCAGGCGAAGAAATCGCTAAGTTTTCCTATCACAGCTTGCCATCCAAATTTTGAACGAGGGTGGGCAATATTCATTGTCAACGCTATGAAAGCTCACTTCCGTAGGTCGCATCGGTATTGCTGCTCAAATGTTGGGCCTCGCTCAAGGCGCATTTGACAAAGCTGTTCCTTATACCTACCAACGGACTCAGTTTGGTCAGCCAATTGGAACCTTCCAGGGCATGCAGTTCCAAATTGCAAAGGCTGCAGTTGAGCTCGAAACTGCACGTCTGCTTACATATAATGCAGCACGGCGGAAGGAGGAAGGTCGAAGCTTTACGAAGGAGGCGGCAATGGCCAAGTACTGGGCTAGTCAGGTGGCTCAAGATGTGAGCGGGTCAGCTATCGAGTGGTGTGGAGGTGTCGGGTTCACAAGGGAGACGGGGATTGAGAAATTCTGGAGAGACTCGAAGATCGTGAGTGGCGCTCTGACTGAATGGATTATATTATTCAGCTGGTATTCATTACAGGGTGCAATCTACGAGGGGACGTCAAATATCCAATTGCAAACGATCGCAAAGTTCATCCAACAAGAGTACTCTCGATGACCAACAGATTCGCGCTTGAGTTGTATCAATGGACAATATTGTTAAATAGTTCGTCACGTTTGCATGAAGAGCAGCATTCCTTCAAATACAGCCCATCCAATTGCCGAGCTGAGGATTTTCCTAGACATGCGGAGAGATGCACCATCGAAAAAACCGGCTGCACCACGTTGCTGTGAATTGAGTGATGAGAATACAACTCAAACATGAAACAAGCGGGACCAGCCTTGAAAATTCTCATGACAGTTGTAGTGAAGCCACGGTATTTGTCTTCTGAACGAACTTGCATTTTCGTCTGAGTAAGCCATCAGATATTCTAGAAGGTGAGACAGCCTGAAGAAATGACCTTTATAACGTCAAATGGGTGTGTCGCCATCGTGGCGACGGCACCTGCAGATGCTGCTGAGAAGCTATGTATGCCTACTGCATATGCTGTTGGGATGAAGTACGCTGGAACACATGAGTTAGATTCTTGCATCACCAGGAACGATCTTACTTGTCTCGCGTTTAATACTCTCATATATGACGACAAACAGACCGGCATATGGTGCATCCCGCAGCGACGACGCAACAAATCCGCGCATAAGTTCAGACGGTCCCATACGGGCGATAGAAAGAAGCGAGCCGGATAAACTACGGTATGCATGCAACTCACTCTGCATAACGCTAGGATATTAAAATCAAAGTGGTTTACGCGACCGCACGAACCTCAAAACGCGCTTTCAAGATAGAAAATGGGTTGAGGATCAATCCGACTCCAACTCGAGCGGTCGCGCCTGCTATGAGGTTGCCCTGACTAGACAGTTTCGGAAGGACGGTTTTAGAGCTATCGCGGTTGTGCTGCTGGTGTGCGGAAAAATAGGGCGACTTTGCCATGATAGAACGTAGATAAGTCAGGCTCGTAAAGTAGAGGGCCACTCCTGGAACATTGCTGGTATAGAAAAAGTCATCGACGAGAGAGATGCAAAATATAGTAGAACGCACCGAACCAATGTGGCACTTGTACCCGTCCATAACCCTTTTATGCCTTCGTTCCGGATAATATCCTTAGTCGTACGCCATATAATAGTTGTGTTGCTTCAGAGACATGAGTTGTTGAGCAATACAATTGTACATGAAGCCTACCCGGCATTCAAAGCAGAATCTCCTTGTTGAATCCTGGTCTTCAGGAGGTCGACTGTGTACCAAGTTAGATGTAATCAGATACTAAGAGCTTCCCCAAGGTGCTCACGAGGCTGTAACAAGATCGCTCCCCCAAACCCAGAGAGGGCACCTGAAAAGTCAGAAGATGTCAAGCCGTGCAATGAGAGGCGCATCAGTTGTTCTGACCTGAGAGCAAATGCTGACCGACTGCAGCATTTTTCATAAATGGAGTGAATGAATGTGTCGATATAAAGAGGATGGCAGTGATATGGGCACGTCCCACTGTTTGATCAAGACCGCCTATATTTGCTGAATCTTAATATTTATGCAACATTTAACCAAACCCTGTTAAGGCCGTCCTCATCGATGTATCCATGGACCATGGGATGACGAAACTCGAGATAAAAATGACTCTAAGAGAGAGCGACTTTTTTCTAATATTGCGACGCATTATTATAATTTTGTGGATTAATGCTCCTCGATATTCATGTCCCGTCTCTTTGCTTCCCTTCGCAATTTTTTCATTGCAGAAGTCCGTAATAACCATGCAAGGTTCTCGTATACAACAAAAGTGACGCAAGTTCCAGGAAGAACGCGCACGAGGTTCGTCCCCATCCCACGATAAAACCCACGGATCCCTTCGCCTTGCCAAGTGCGTTTGATGGTGGTCGGTATGTTAGGATATAAGCGAATTGTGGCATTGTTCTGAAATGAGGATGAAGATGTGGCGGCGTAAACAATAATCGTCTCACCTGTATTCGAGAACGAATTACTTGGTATGGATAAGTAAGCGCAAGCGCCCATATCTTGCTCGCACCTGACATAACCGTATAAGATATATTCGACTAGACAATATCGTTAAATACGAGACAAAGAAAAGAGAGCAATAGACTCACGAGCTTATCATCCTCCGGTCCCATCACCTTTCCGGCCTTTGCGAACCGTTTTCGCTTTTGTTCGAAACCCCACCGTTTCATCTCTTCGTATGCCATGAACTGCACCGCGCCGTTGCTCACACCGACCAAAGCCAAACTAGTCCCTTTCCACAAACCAGAGAAGCCCTCTTGCCTCCATATCGAGGAAATACCATCTAAGATGACGACCCGCTTAACAAATAAAAATGAAACAAGACGAACGTACGTGAAAGGCTTAGGTAGGATGTTGGTGAATCGGCACGCGTCGTAAACATGCGCACTTTTACGACCCATATAGGGTTCGTAATTATAGCTGTGACCGCGCCTGTAAAATTCAGTTTGAGATACTATCATAAAAAGAAAAGGGAATAGATGGGCGAACTCGCTTGAGCGGAGCAGAGCAGGTATGCTCCCGGGGACATCCTGTGATCCGGGTCGTCTCTGTATGACCGATTCTTCAGCATGTCGTAACTGAAGTATATCAGTGCCCTGCAAAGAAATTTCGAAACTGATAAAACGTTACTCACAAAAGAAAATAGAGTCCCCAACTCGAGGCGTTCCCTGCAATATTTGGTCCTACGCCTCGGTACAAGCCTCTCCATCCTTCAGTTGCATGAATTTTGCGCAGAGCGTTCCATATGGCGGTTCCGATTCCACCCTGTGGGTTTGTGGTGGCGACCTGTAGCTTGACCTTCAAAAGGTCGAGAGGATGCATGCATAAGACTGCGACAACGCCCGCTCCGAGACCTGCTGCTGCATGGTCCTACGAAGTTTCATTAGAAACGAATGTGTGAAGTCAAAGATTAGAACATACTATGGAACTTGTCGGAAAGAAGCTCGGGTGAGGTAGAGACATGCGACTGTGACTGCACCGTGCCGATCAGGAAGAGCTAATGGACAGTCTGGGGGCAAGTCCGTCACCGACTCCGGCAGTACTATCGTCTGGGTCCGAGTCGGGGGGTGTCCATTTCCCGACGCTTCTCTTGCCGGAGTTTTAAACTGTTTAACGTTACGTGATATCCGGCGACCCCTAGTAGGTCAATGGCAGAGTCGCACAATGTGCATAAAGGAACATGATTTGACGAGTACAACAAAAACTATACCGTACCCTCAACGATCATATAAAAAAAACTGCGTGAAAAGCCTAAATAAAGAAACAGACGAACACGACATGGCATTGAAATCATGGAAAAGTAGAAACCTATGATGTCGTCAAAGGGTCGTATCAAATCACTCCGTGAGTCAATCATGCAGCAGCACTCTCGCGTGCCTCGCCATTCGTGCGAGGCGTGCCACGGGTGAGCCCGGCTGCGGCAAAATTCCGTGCAGCAAATCCACGTCCACGTCCTCTAGGACCACCGCGGACCCCTCTATCAGCGCGCTCTTCACGATCTGTCGCTATCTGCACGCTAACCGTACCCTCGCCCATTTTCTAGACCGTAAATATCAGTCACTGAAAAGGACGACATTCGGGTGCCTTACCTCGTCATTCTTGTCCAATCCTGCCTTCATGGTCTCATCATCACCGAACTCTACATAAGCAAGGGGTCTAACACGGTGATGCGGGGATCCCTTGAACGGAAGGAATGTCACTTTCGTCACTCCCGCTGTCTCACCGCCAAAGAATGACCTGACGTCTGCTTCCGTCGACTGTTGAGGGAGTTTAACAAATAGAGTCCAAGGATGTCTCGATGACCGCTTGCTTGTCGGTGTCCTGGCGCCGGTACTGTCCGTTGTTGGCGACTTCATCCCGTCACGTACGTCAGCGATGGGCGCTTCGGGTGTTGCTTTGCCTGATTGCTCTGGTGCAGACACCGGAATTGGAGTTGGAGCAGACGCAGAAGTCGGAGCTGGAGCTGGTGCGTTCAAAGCAGGATCAGCCTTCTCTTCGGATGTAGAAGCCTCCTTCTCTTTCGCTTCCGTACGCTCACGGTCCTTGCGTTCTTTTTTCTCTTTCTCTTTCTCTTTCCGTTTCTGCTTCTCTTTTTCAGCCTTGTCTAATGGCGGTGCAGGTGTTCCACTCCCGTTAGATTTGGGAGCAGGAGTGGATGGAGATGACTCTTTTGGTGTCTCTTTGCCAGATGCCACAGGGACCAGAGGAGACCTGATCTCTTTTGGATGCGGCGAGAGAGGTTTTTCTGCCTGAACGGGTGTTGAACCCTTGGTGGGTGGGTTCGAAGTAGCGTTCGGTAGTGAGGACGTCGTTGAATTGGGTGTTGGAACGACATTACTGGGCGTTGCGGTGCGACGGTACGCATAATTGAAACCTATAAAACATTTAGTGAAAGCCACCAACTAAAGTGTTAACGGCTTACCCTGGCTCTTCAACTCGGCACTGATCCTGCCATCCTTGACATCCAACACAAGTGAACCAAATGCAGCGTCACACAGGTTCCAATTCCAACAGTTCTTCCAAGAGGGCTCTTCCGGACCCTGTGCGTTTGGTACCCTCTCAATGACACTCAGAGCCTTGTCAAGCAGGACCCGCTGATGCTCATCGATGACGGTGTCTACCTGCTGCTTCACACTGTCCCAAACTTTATCAAAGGCTTCCTTTCCAGCAATGAGCTTGTGACGGAAGCCTTCTAAGTCGCTTTGCACGCTGAACTCATTATAACTGGAGGCATAACGGAAGTGAAGCCCCGCGCTGATAGAGAGATCAGCCTTGAGAACGAGTGCAAGTTGAGCCATTATGCCTTCGCGTCCGGGGCTTGCGTGGGTGACAAGGAGACGCGTCTCGGTGGGATCGAAGACACGCTGAGCAGTATCAACGAGCTCACCGATCTGGAGTGCGGTTGTCCACATGGTACCCTGACCACCAGCAATTGTTGCGCTGCCATCACCATTATCAAACATTTTGTGGGGAACGAGTGCGCCACCCAAACCAAGAAGCCTCAGCTTGACGCCTCCGACATCAAGACAATAAGTGGTTGCCTCATCGAGGACGTGAAGGTTGTCGATGTTGTAAATGCCAGCACGGAATTTCTCGAGAATGACGACGTCCTCGCAAGCACCCCAAACAGTATATACAGGGATAGAAAGCTTGAGTTGACCTGAGAGAAGGAGAGGGAATTCAGAAAGAAGGGAAATATCGACGGTGGCGCGGATTGCTTGGGAGGTGTTGTCAGGTGCAAGGAAGTGGGTACGCTGCGTGGATGGTATTAGTGGCGAATACATGGTGAGATGACGCAGTGTGCGGTCATTTATGCGGTCCAGACTGTTACTTTCTACATATAATAAACGCGTCAAGCACGAAAAAAAAAACGATGACTGGTAGACGCCCATGCTCACCAAAAAAACCAAAGTCACCAGTATGAATGATAGCTTTGGCATTAGCCTCGCGCGCGAGATCGTTTAGGCCAGAAAGTCGACCACGGATGTCTGCGATGCAGAGGATGCGACCGTGTGTAGTGTCTAGAACTTTTGTGTGGGTATTCACTTGAGGTCTAGAGTTTGGTGATACTGTAGGACGTGTCGAGGAAGATGCTGGGCGAGATGACGAGTTCATTTTGGAAGCTATGAGGACGACGAGGAAGATGGCGAGGAAGACGCTCAACACAATGACAAGGTCACTGAACGAAGAAGGGTTTCAAAGGTAGTAGTCGATGATTACATAAGCTAATAACACCACCAACACTGGCCTTACCAGTGTTCGTCAACGTTCTCCACGTTGTCGACGGCAATGACAGTGTTTGCATCAGAAACTGCTGTTAACCTGGGCTCGTGGTCATTGTCGCTGCGGTCGTTATGAGGTATTATATCGTAGATCTCAAAAAGCACGAATAGGGACTTCGATACTTGTCGTCCATACAATTATCATCGTTGTAGACAACGACGACGCAATATAATCGAGTGTAATGTGAATCAGTTTTGCAGTGATTCACTTTGAGAATTTTTGGTTTAGTGAGTCCGTTAAAGTTTGTAGTTGGCACCACGGATCAGAGAACCATGCAGACCGCGTAACCCATTGCTGTCCATCACTCTCGACGACTTGCAACTTGTTCCTTGACGTCGTTGACACCAATGAGCCTATATGGCTCACAAACCTGACACAACAGCGCCTTTATCAAGTGCCTTTACTCAAATTTCTGCGACGCTCACCACGTTGGACAAGCTACTCTCATCCGTGCTCCCACTTCCCGCGAATCCATGCATTCTCTACGCGACATACTCACTGTCTGGAACAGCACCTCACTACGATGTGCTAGAGTCTGCACGGAGACAACTTGTTTCACGAAATCAGGTTTCTACCTTTCAAGACTCAATCCTTCCCTATGTTCACATCGATCGGGATGTGTCTACCTTTCATGCGTTCATTGTGGCATCCGATGAGGAAGTCGACAGTTCTCTGTCTGTTCTGAAACAGCTCAGATTCGATGATCTGATAAGTGAGTCTACGTACAGCTGTCGTGCGCTGTCACTAACCCTACACTCACTCCGCCAACTTACTGCGGCAGTATCAGAAACTTCGTCCTTCACACCGCATGAGCTTTATCCATGCAGTCTGGCATGTGCAGACAGTCGTAACCCATGCACATCGTGTACCGATCCTCCATTCATATCTACTGCCCGCCTCCTTCCAAGGAAGCCACTCCGACAAATATACGCTCGATTTATTGATGCTGTCCGGACACGTCTCATAGACTCCGTTGTTAATGCATCATTGACTTCCGCTCTTCGTTTCCGTAATGGCTTCCTGCTCGTATCCAATGCAATATCCAACGAGTGGGGCGCAGACTGGGATTATCATGCGCAATTGCGGTATGAATCTTGTCCCCACCGCCCATTATTTCTGATACTGACATAATTCTTGTTCAGCCCGCTCGTCCACTGCCACCTGGATCTCCATCTCGCGTCCAATCGACTTGAAGTTCACTCCCTCTTTCGGCCCCTCCCACACGCCCCCCTTCCCGCACTCCTGCCCCTCCCACCTGGTACACCACTCATCCTTCTTCCTACTGGCGTCCCTGCCTTCCTCCTCGCCAATTACTCAGGTCCTACTGCCTCCCTTGCCATCCAATTTACTCGGTCTCTTGCACCGCACCCCCTCCCACGCCCCAAAGACCCTCAATATATCATCGCATGGCTTGCGGTGCAAAATAAGCAGGGCGAAGACAAGGGCACACCGATAATCTGGCCCACAGCCCTATGTCTGGTTTCAAATTCATCATCACGCAAGCCACTGTCACATATTCCAGAACTACCTGCGCAGCTTCAGCCTTCCCCGCCTCCACCACCTCCACCATCAATCAATGTCGGGACACCCCGTGTAGACACGCCGAGCACACCGTTAAGGGTATTAACGAATCACCCTTTAACACGTCGCCCCGCCACGGCTTCTCCATCCCCCCTCAGGGCTCTCCACGCGTTAACCCTTTCACACACTACCAGCCTGCAGAATGTCGCATCAGAGATAGGCAGTTATGTCGAGTCTGTCGTGCGTGAGCGAGACCGGGAACGGGAACGAATTCGCAGGGAGCGCGAAGCGATGGCATCAGTATCTGCCTCGCCGCAGGTCACACCGGCTGCAGCTATAGTCTCTACCGTCCCCACCCCAGCACCCGACACAAATCTTCCACTGCATCCACCCCCTCCAGTACCCACTGAACAACCACATATCCATCCGAGTGTCTTCTATCCTTCTCCTGTAACTGCAGTTGATCCCCCTGCTCCTCCCGGGCCCCCCTCTGGGTCTGAACCCCCAACACCGTTGCCGCAGACAAACCTTGTACCTGTCCCCACTTCATTTGATCCGTTCAACACGATGGACTCCACCTGGTCACAACCCGCATCTGACTTTATGGACTATGATATGGATCCTGCTGGTCAGCGTCGTCTCGATGTAGACTTTGCAGACTACGATACTTTCACGTTCACTGACGATGACTTCAGTTTCTTTGATCGTCCCTCGCGCCCATCGGATTCTGCGCCCGCACCACTTGCACTCTCACCAAGCATATTTGGTGTTGCAGATGTTGGTGTGTCCTTTACCCATGCAGTAGGCGCTCAGCTCTCTCCAGATGTTCCGACGTTCACTCCAGCACCCGCACCCGCTTTCCCCTCTCCGACTGCCTCACACTCAGCGCCTTCCACACCTCATGTGAAGGTCACGCACCCGCTCTCCCAATTCACTCGTACCTTCGACCCCATCGCTTTCGCTCCCTCTCACAGTCTTGCGGATGCCAAGTACTCCTCCACTGGAAAGTTTGCTCTCCCCAGTCCGCCAGATGAAGAGGACCGTACCTCACCCTTGCCTACCTTGCGTTCACAGAACCACAGTACAGCTTCCGCTGCTGATCTGCGTGCGCGGTACAGCGTCGCAACAGACCCGCGCATCAGCGTCGTACGTCAACTTATCGGCGTCAAGCGCAAGTCCAAGTCACTCGATCATGGAAGAGCGCGATGCCGGCAATTCCTCCTGTCCTCGTATGATGACAGCGTCGTCCACGAAGAAATAATTCCTTCCCTAGAGGACGACGAAAAGTCTGAGGCTGTTTCTGAAGACGACGCAGATATGGACGACGAACGTGAGCGCTCAACAACCCCACCTCCATCATACCTCCCTTTAGGTCCCATGCTCCTTCACACACAGTTCCACCACGCGCTTCTCCTTCCACTCTGCCAACCTCTTCGCCCGCCAGGATCGGCAGTTGCGCCCATGAGCCTGGTGCTTCCACCACCTGTGGCTGCCCACACACCAGTCTCTCCTGCTGCATCGTTGGAGAAAATTAACCAGGAGGTGGCAGCGGCAGGCGCAGTACTTGCGCGGGAGGTCGTTGAAAATTCTGTTTGGGCCCGCGCTTGGGGTTGCCGATATACTACAGAGGGTGAACAGGTTTGGCCCAGCGACATTCAAGAACTGGCGGACATTCTGAAGCGTGTGGATGTCCTTGACGGACCAGTAGAACTAATGACCATGTTTTCATCCGGTAAGTTTCTGATGATTATATCACATTTGTCGCTCAATCACGCCAATACAGATGGTGTACCCGCCGGGGAAAAGGTTCACCTTCAAAGACTAGACCCACCCATGTTTTCAGTGGGCAAGTCGGGTTGTGTCGTGCAAGTATTACCATCAGCATTGCGCTTCTGGGAGAAGCTGGGCCTCACGCCCCACGGTGGTAAAAGGGATGTCGTCGCTTTTGTGTTTCTCGAAGAAGGCGGCCTGGAAAAGCAGCATCAAGCTGAAGCTTGGTTGAACAAGATGTCTGCGGAATACAGTGTGAGTCCGCTATCGATGATCTTCGTCTCGTTTTCAAGTAATCAATTTTACCTTTGACAGGCCAAGCAGCTTGGTTCTTTCACTCCTGGGAGCAGCACGATGTGCTCAGCGGACGGAGTCATGCCTCTGAGGCTAGAGAATTTGAGAAAGTCCATAAGTATGTTCTCTCGTGATCATTAATACGCTCAAAATATAACGCTCAAAACAGGGTCCTTTCTGCAGTGCTTGGAGTCAAGCAATGACCTTGTCTTCTATATAGCCATCCCTGACCTAGCGATTGGGCTTTCCTCACCCCTCCTGCGCGAAATCTTTAGTTTTGTTAAACAGACCCAAACCAAGCGCTCTGAGGCTCCTATTCTCTTTCAGTTTGTCCCCGAGCACCTAATTTCCTCCTCGGAGAGCCCTTCCAGTGAAAACTCGGAGATCGATGCCCTCTGTTACGCCACCTACCGACGAATGCTCAAACCCGTCGAGCGCTCCATGTCTAGAAGATTTTCTGACAAGAGCGAAACAGTTGCATATTTCCAGGAGCAGCCCTTTGTTCTGGCCCGCCCCTCGAGTACTGTCCACTTCGCACAAACAACTCCAGCTCGGTCCCTTGACGTCATGGACCGGCACACGTTCCTTCACGTTGGCTACCGATTTTCCGCCTGCGGGAAATGGTTATTCGCTGCGTGTGTTGACCAGCGTGGGGAAACTTATGATCTCGGGACGTGGCTGATACAGGACGAAATAGAGACATCGGCAGTGGTGCAAGTCTGGAATTTTGCGTTGCAATTCGCGAAGAGAGCTAATGTTGAGTGGCGGATTGTCATTGCGAAACTAGGGTCCATGACTGTCAGCGAATTGGAAGGTTGGTGCTATCGAATGAATCTTATATTGCCTTTATTTATTGTTCTATAGGATGGAACGTTCACCTGGCCGCTGCCGTCCCCTTGTGCAACGACTTGCCCCCTTTTCATGTCAGCTTGCTTTCCGTGGAGCAAAATTTGTGCTGGCCTATCCTATCACACCTTAATGAAACTTCGGGCTTGGCGGCATCCAGACGGGCACCTGCGAAGGATTCCAAATCTATTTACGTGGACACTGCTGCCCCTGCCTACACCATATATCCTTCTACACGTATTCCCCTTGCCTCGCGCTCTTGTCAGGAACAGGTAGATTTGACATTCATCCCAGACAACGACGGCACTACCTCTGATACATCAACCATCCTCCCAATATCTACATCCATCCTCATTCGGTCTCCGTCCACACGCACGGCTTCTACCCAATCTTCCATCTACATACACCATCTCCATGCACTTCATACTCCTGGTTCTTCCCTCTCAATTTCAGATGATACCATGCGCAAGGATATCACACTCAATTTTTATGAATTGTCTGTTCTTGCAGGCGCGATGTTAGGCTTCCAAGAATACCCTTTACTGCCTTTTCATCTTGCTGCACTCGAAGCCATGCATCATTCTCTCAGACAGGAAGACATCAACTGAGGCTTTGCTTCAGTCCCTCACTTGTCTTTTTTTTTTTGGATTTCTAACAAGTAGATTTGTCGCTATCTTGCTTTTTTGGTAACTACCCTACAGCTGTTACATGTACCACATTATTTTGGTGGTAGCCGGGGGCATACCCTGTGTATCCTTACTGCTTACGTTCCCTCTTGCTTGCCTGACCATGTTTATTACTATGAGGTAAAAACTCGATAAACACAAATGTACAAATTCTGTGGAATCTACTGGGTCTTCTTTTCCTGAGCATGGTACCCCTTTGGTGCTTCCAAGCGCACAGACGACTGGAGGCTGGCAAGAGCTGAAACAGCCATCATGATAATGGGTACAATGATGAAGAAAACGACGAGTAAAGCGACAAGAAGGGGTGTTGTGAACAGTTGGTATCTCTTGAAAATACCACCATCAGAAAGAGTCGAGTTGTCAGGAGCGTATGTTGAGTCAAATTTGGAAGGGGGAAATAACTGACGGCGGTAGCCCGGGTGTTCAAGTGGTGACCCAACGTACAAAACCAAGTGGCTCGTGAACGCTGCATCGATCTTCTCGATTTCGCTAGAGAGGTATTGATCTGGTGCATGATGTGTAAAGTTGATACGCCTCAATTTGGTATGAACTCACCATGACCCAACATAGCCACCTTGCGGAGTTTTGGGCTACCCTCTATTGCTGGCATATTGACGCATACGACGTGCTTGGAGTTCTCAGCGAGGTCTAAAGGGCCATCTGCTGGACTAGCATTGGTCAAAGTCGAGCCGCAGCGCCTTGCCAGAGACTCCGTGATGTCCTGGAGGGAAGCCGAGGCACTACGCTTCACGTGAGGATACTGTCTTGATGATGGCGCAGTGTTTAGAATGGCAGAGAGTCCGGAAGAAGTAGGTAATGCACGAAGGTCAGAACTGCGGAGCTGCAGAATAATGTCAGTATCATAGCCAACTGGAAAGCTAGTACATACGCCTGGCTGGTTTATCACCAGAACAGTATCGAAGGAGCAGGCACCTTCTGGCGAGAGAACACCATCAATTATGCTCACAGAATCTTCATAACGTAGATCTGGAGATAAACCGTTCAACACGGACGAGCTGTGCCGAAGTGAGTCCAGAGACCGACTTAATGATACAGTTGACAAACATTTTAGATGACCATGCTACAATTGGAACTGTGTCCGAGTACCCCAGCACACCGACCACAGGGAGCAAAGCCAAGATAGCAGCACGTCCAGCCATGAAGAAGTTACTAGTTATGATGTAGCCTGAGGACGCGCGCTGCAGCTCGAAACTTGAATTACATAAGCCAGGCTGGGGTGAAACTCCGTCCACCACATAGTAGAGCAAGGCAACTGAGTCATGGCTAGTATTCCTCCTCAGGCAAGGTCCAAACAGCTCCGAGCATGCTTACTATGTTCTATCATTCAACATCCTATGGATTTTCGGAAGAACGGTTGTCCAAATTGTGAAGAGCTCATGCAGGTATGTCGAGATCATCGTAAATTATCTCTGCTTTCGCTCATGTCTTGTCAGATGAAAGGCTCTCCTGACCGCATAAGTGTTTGCACTACCACCTACTTCGATGGTATCATTGCTGTCATTGACACTGAAGCTAGTTGGGTTGCACGATGGCAAAGGACATGTAAGTTTACCTTACTGTGAGCTTACTAGATATATGCTGATTTCTACTTGCAATTTGTTCCACAGCAAAGTATGTTCGGGGAATGTATGCTGTCCGCGTGAAAGGTCGTATTCCAGAAGATGTAGAAGCTGAACTTGAGTCCCGTGGCATCAAGTACCGTCCAAGAGACCAGAGTGATCAGGATTAGCATGTTCTTATAGTGTGTTGCATTTCATGTTGCAGTTCAGTTTTGTCAAAATTTACACTAGCTTCCTTAGTAGCAGAATTAATAGCTAGCATAGATCTTTGTTATACGTCGCATTGTTTACTCGCTATGGCTCATAGTTGCCGGAGCAGCGCCTGAGTCGGGAGCCCAAATGTTTGAACAAGTAGTAGTTGCAGAGACTCGCTAGCGCTTACATTCGATCGCCGTTCATGCAACTATCTGAGTCTATTTAAACAAACTCTGTACAGTATCGCAGGTCCAGCAATCATGAAGTATTGACATGGTACTTGGATCGAATCAGAACAATATGATAGTCCTCGGCGGAACAAGAAGGTATTAATCCATGGCTTTCAACACGGTGGCCGATATACATGGATGCACAGGAATACACTTGTAAGAATATCATAATAACAGTCGAGCAAAACGTATAATGCAGTTTAATGGATATATGGGTGATCAACAATAGTATGTCCTTAGCAAGCTCTTGGTATTAAAGCAGTTCATGAAGGACCTGGTCATATCGATGAGGCATATGTGACCTAGAGGAGGGCGTCAACGTGTAATCTCGCGTCACGGGTCAAAACGCACCTAAGCATATTTCTTGAGAAAACTATTTGAGAAAATACTTTCTCAACGTCCAAGACCTCGAATAGTCTCAATGTTTTATCGGGATGCGTATTAGGCCGCTGGGACTGATGCGAGGGGTGTAGGTCACAGTCCCTAACAGTCCATAAGACGCGACCAGGTGGGAATAAATCAGCCATTTGCATATTGGCCTCGAGAGTTTTTCGCATCGACAGAAACTGTGTCACGTGTCAATTCGACCAAAATTGTTGAGCTGTGGGTGCATAATAGAACTTACCCAATGAAGGTCATCCGATGACCCATCTCCAGCTTTCCATCGCCTGATTCTATTGGTGATGACCGAATATCCTTCCGTATCACCATTCCGCTCATTTGCATCACACAGCCAGAGGGCTGCATTACGAATGTCCCGGACAGAACCGAGCGACAGTCGAGACACAATGTCATCGGAGCATACAAACGATGTGACCATTTTCGATGCCAACCGGCTAAGCCCAGCATCTGTCAGACAACTAGGGGGATTCAGAAAACGTCCTAGTCGGATAAAATACATAACGTACGGAGGTCCTATACAATATACGGATACGTTGTGGTCCGTTGGCAGGCCGCTTGAAGGCACTGTCAAGCAAGTTGCAGGGTCTGCCCACATCTGAATGAAACATGTCAATATATAGCCATCACAGTTTCGTCACTTTCACCATAGCCAAGAGGACCGCAACTCCTGCTCCCAAACTATGCCCGCAAAGTATGAGTTCTGGTTTGCAATCAGTTTTAACGAATGTTATTGTAACAATCTCAATTACCATATCCAGGATTGCGAGTCAATGCATCCATGACGGCCACATGGACTGGTTTGCCAATCTCGCCCATCACGCGGGCCATACGAAGCATCCCTCCGTGAACTTGGTATTTGGGCTGTTTCTCATGAGAAGTCGTCGAAAGAATAGATAAACGCCTCCGAGGGATCCTTCTACTTGACCCAGGGAGTGATATGCTGTCTCCAGCGTCTTCCTGAGACGCGCCCGATGCAGGTTCAAATTCTACCGGATCGCATGTCAGATCAACAGCGAGCTCGTTGAGTGACATTGTGCCTGTAAAGCCATGTTTAGCCTAAGACGAACAGCCTCGCTCCAAATAAAGCCACCTCGTAAAACAAGCACAACCTCGTGTCTATCGTGGTCGGTCAAAACCCAGAACCTAGGCATCTGGCGCTCTATCCCAACAACAGCCGTTGCGCGAGCCCTCGCCTGTATATCTGGCGGTTCTACTGTCTCCCCGTGCACCGACCTTTCAAAAATTTCCTTGTCATGCTTGCCCATCAATATGTCCCACCAAGAGTACTCCAAATTATCAGAAGGCATTCTGGAGTTTCCCTTCAACTCATCTTCTGCTGCATTCACAGCGTCCTCGAGCTGCGCCTCTTCTGCGTCCTTTTCATTACGCGGGGACGGCGGGTTTGAATTACGGGATGGCGATGTCAGAAGCAGAGGAACTCCGAAGAAGAGTAGACTTGCGCCACCATAGCCGGCAAGAACCATCTTCGAAAATCGTCGCAAGTTAGTCTTTAGCTCAACTATAGACTTTTGCGGGACATCTATGCGCGGTTGGGCCCATCTAAAAGATATGGACGATATTGACAATCTCGACAGGACACTCGGAGACCTGGAACGGGTATGAGACTGCGTGGATGCTTCTCCGATGTCCGCAGATATTAGTTGTCCTCGATGTCCCGGGAATATCACGTCAGACGTTACTCGAACTCGTGAAGGTGTATGTTTAAGTTGAGGGGCGGTGGACGGGTCATGAAACTGAATCTCGCGAAGGTATGGGAACCAACTCTGCTCTTGCCACTCGTGAGTGATGCCCTGCAGAGACACCCATGCAACCAAAGCTCTAGCGACCTCTGTTATTCCGTACTTTCTCCCTGGGATATGCTCGTGTGAGCCAGGATGATCCCACTCACGCTTTACCAGATCGATGAACGATGCCAAAGAGAAAGAGGCTTCGCTGCTGCCAGGGAAGATGACGGAGAGCATATCGATGGAGCTATAAGCTGCTCGTAGGGAAGCTGATGAAATATACTCCCCAACATAGATGGGAGCAAGAGTAAGTCTTTCGGCGAAGGTGATAGCGCTCACGACCGCGCCTTCTAGGACCGGCGCAGCGATCTCGCTCCCACCGAATATTGCGTGATCGAGGGCGGAAGCAACTACACCCACGACACTGGACGCTGCATCTCGAGCAACCGAGAACTATGGAGTAACCTGAGCTCTGCACCGGAATTTTGGTATTATTCGGCTTACCCCCAGTCGTGTTGTGCCCTTGACAGCGGTGAAAGCAAGAGAAGTCGCTGCTGAAGTGAGGTCAAGACCGTGCCTACCAAACCTCTGCCAGTCATAGTCCATGATTAAAGGTAAGAACGAAGGGTATCTGTGAGCTGGGCAAGTCCATGCCTCAGCTGCTCAGGTGAAGAATAACAACAGTTCCAGATCAAAGGAAAGCCAATACAAAGCCTGTGATTAACAAAAGATCCCAAATTGGACTCAGTAGTGACTAAAATGGCATTAATTGGGTGACCGCAGACGTGGCAGAAAAGGAAACAGCTGACAAATTAAAAACAAATATAAACAATTCAGACCGGTATGAACTCGGCCCTGTGTGAACGTCATCACCGACATAAAAAATCGTTATACTAACTGGCAGTACCCGTTTCGGGTTCTGGGATTTAGTTTTCTTCATGTGCTCCAGCTTCCGCTCGTTGCTGCCAGCTCTCCGCGGAGTCGCTGCTAGATGTCCTCCGTCACAAATCTACACATCTTTGAGAACATATGCTACTGAAGCAGCACCAGGTTACGACCACAAGCCTTCACATTACGGTCAACCGCTCTTTCAGTCACACCCCCACCTACGTGAGCTTAAACCTTCTGGTTCACTTCCTACATCGTTATCAAAGCCAAGACAGTTAGGCCCAATGAACTCACACCTGGGATTCCGTCTGAAGAGTATGAGCGCCGTCGGAAAGAACTTATGGACAGCCTACCTAGCAATAGTGTGGTGGTTCTGATTGCTGCACCTGTTAAATACATGAGCGGAAGTATGTGAACGTTCTACTCTCCTTCTTCAACACTTTAAAACCCGTTTCAAGATATATTGTAGGACTTCACCAAGTCTGTGCTGATTGCTTGCCTGACATCACGGCTTCAAGTTACAAATACCGCCAAGGATCCGACTTCTGGTATCTCACTGGCTTTGAAGAACCCGATTCTGCTGTTGTCCTAGGTAAGTACGGAGTTGATATTTTTTGTAGGCTTGGACTTACCTTTTATCAGAGAAGAATGCGTCTTCTCGAGGATATAGAATGACACTGTTCTCCAATGGAAAGGACTCTGCGAAAGAGAAATGGGATGGTCCAAGGTAAATTTTGAGACTAAGACGGTGTCCTGAAACAATATCTTTTTCAGGACAGGCTTCGATGATGCTCTGAATGTCTTTAAAGCGGACGACGCGCTAACAATAAAGGCTTTTCCTGGTCAACTGCGATCCATGATTAGCCTCTACTCTAATGTTTATATTGACCTTCCCCAGTCTCCACGCAAAAATGCGCGTTCCACCAAGTCATTACTTCGGTACCTCTCGCCTTCTGTCAATCCTCGGTCGGAGTATGAGAGTGTCGTGGAGTCGTTGTCAAGCTCTCGGCGGAAACCTCTTGCTCCTCTCATTGCCCAATTAAGAGCATTCAAGAGTGTCTGCGAGCAACAAGTCATGAGAATGGCCGCTGACATTAGCGGTCGCTCCCATGCGAAGGTCATTGGCTATTTTGACCGTCATTTGTTATTCTGACGCGATAGTTTTTCGTCTTCAAGACAATGCGCTTTACACGACCCGGCATCTCAGAAAGTGCACTGGCAGCTCATTTTGAATATTTGTGTAGTCTATCAGGTTCACAGCGCCTTGCATATGTCCCCGTTGTTGCATCTGGGTGAGTTATCAGCTTCTAATGTATGACACTGAGATCTTGAATATGTAGTGCAGGCCAAATGCACTCATCATACATTATACATCGAACAATCAAGTTGTACAAGATGGTGAAATGATTTTGATGGACGCTGGATGTGAATATAAGTGAGTCATGTCGTCGAGTTCTTTCTGGCGCACTAACATTTTTAAGCGGTTACGCGTCTGATATCAGTGGGTATTACTCATTCTTCTTCCAATATCATGTTACCCACATCTGGTTAAGCCCGCACATATCCAGCCAATGGATCATTTACACCTCCGCAAAAGGAGCTATATAGCGCAGTGCTATCTGCGCAGAAGACTCTTGTGGGGCTATGCACGGAGGCAGAGGGATTGAGTCTTCATGACTTGCATAGAAAATCTTGCGACCTCCTCAGACAGGAGCTGAAACAGATAGGCTTTACTCTCCATACAGGAGATCTGGAGAGAGTACTTTACCCCCATTTCCTCAGTCATCCAATTGGGATTGGTACGTGGGTTTTTACCGTTACTTTCAGGGTCTTAATGCAGGGATTTTCTAGATTTACATGAATCATCATATTCAGACAGAGGAGAACTGTACGTACATCTCGTAGTTTTGTCCTCGTTAGATATAGAGTTCACCATCTATACAAGATTGAAAGCTGGGATGGTAATTACTGTAGAACCAGGTGCGTATTTTGTGCATTCTATTAATAATGACTACACTAACTCTGATCAACATTTCAGGAATATATGTCCCGCCTACTGCCCAATTCCCAAAGCACTTCCATAACATTGGCATTCGGATAGAGGTTGGCCAGGATATCTGTATTCCCCGCAGTTTTACTGACATAATTTACAGGACGAAGTCCTTGTTGGCGAGAAACACCCCGTGGTTCTCAGTGTTAGTGCACCAAAGGAGGTTCGTCCTGATCTCTTCTCCCCGCCGGATGAATTAAATACGCACACATGTTTAGATTGCAGATGTAGAGGGTGCATGTCAGGGACTACTAGGACTGGAGCCAATTTGAGGCTGGAGAATCATACATACATCTAGATCTCGCCCAACCTACGTGCCCCAAGATAACATCACTCATCATCAGGATGATCGACTGTCTCATACGCCTTGAGTATCTGCTCCTTTCTGAGCCACTTTTCTTCAGGAGTGAAGTACCAGCTCAAGAAAGCAAAAATGGAAATTGCGCCAAAGATGACGGTGGCCTTCCGCAAAGGTCATTGCACGAATTGATGGGGACAACTGTAACACTCACAAAATTGAATGTCTGAGCTGTGACAGGGAATTCAAATGGTGATATATCGACCTGACACCGGGTCTGAGTTCAAGTTATTTGTCGCGGAGTGAAAGTAACGCACCGCAAATACCAGCGCATTGAATAAGACAGCACAAACATAGAATGGTTTTGCGTATTTTCCCAGCTTGAAATGAGAGGACTGGAAACAATTAGGTGTCATCGTCAAGCGTAGCAAAGCAATAAGGCCGTATGCAGCAATGGTCGGAGCGGCCCCAGCTGAGACCAATGATGTGAATGCCACCTGACTGGGAATGATTGTACAGAGAAGAGCGGCTGCAAAGATGTAGATGACGGTAACTGCATTGCGAGGTTGTCCTTTCGAGTCGACAGCGCCGATCCATCCGGACAATGGTAAAACCCCATCTCTTGCGACCGCGAACACAAGGCGCGAGGATGCGACAATAGCAACAGTTGTGTTCTAGCAGGCCGACTAATGAAAATCGGGGCAATTTCAGCGAGGTAGTACGCACCATGATCAGGCCAACGACCGCAATAACAGTCATAAATATGCTGGCTTTCTTCCCGAGAGCGAGCGCGTAGATCTGCACGAATGGCTGCGGCGCATCGAGGGCAAACACAGTGTCGAGGTCTGGCGTACAGAACAAAAACAGGATAGTCGTGATGAAACCCAAAACACCTGTTGCAATTGCACTCGATAAAATTCCTTTTGCTGCAACCACACTACGAGAAATCAAACAGGGACACCCTTACGATGTTGTCGAAAATCATACCTAGCATTCTTGGTCTCCTCGGCGATGTGTCCTGAGGCATCAAAGCCAGTCAAGGTCCCCGCTGTGAATAACCTAGAATTGTGTCAGATAATTGGCTGATTACTGAAATTACAATTTGACATACAAAGATAAGAGCCAGTTCCACGTAGCTGGGGCTCCCGTGCCGTTATCTGCCGTAAAATCAGCATGATTGAAGGCATTGGCAGAGTAGACATCTTACAAGTCATCGTGAAGACATCACTAGCGGACCGGAAACCGTAGGTCTTCGAAACACCGATAGGCAACCAGATGAGACACAAGAAAAAGTCAAGCATCATGAGGCCGATGGAAAATTTGAAGATACCAGAATAAAATTTTGGCGGAAGGTAGTTGATAGCCACTGACAACAACAACATTCCTTCGGATATGGCCCATATCAGGGCCCGCCACTGGATATTGTCATTTCCAACACCCCCAGGGAAGTTAACCTCCCAAACAGCAAGTTGAGAAACGATGTAATTGGCTGTGGTCTATAAAATTGAGAATTAAGTCCACCGTCATCTTAAATGACATACTTGGCAGTTGCTCGCGGTAAAGGTCATCCATGCGGTACATGCCCACCAAGCAACAAGGAAGCCGAAGAATCTGGCATGCTTTGGACCAGCACTTTCTGCAGCCCATAAGTAGATAGAGCCGCTTAATGGTAACGCGGAGCAGATCTCGGCGAGAACAGCGGCAGTTATGAACATGAAGATCATTGTAACAACGTATGATGACCTGTGTTAGTGTTAACATGCGCGAGTAAAACATAAATCAACGGACAAACCATATCGCGGCGGGCCCTCCCGCTAGAAGCCCGAGGAAGAGAAAAGATCTATCGAAGTGATATTAGTAATAGCAGAAGCGCTCAATGCAGTCACATACCTGACGCTTCCAATGAAGTTCAGGGCAACAAAACTTGCCGCAAAGCTCTCAATCAGGTGCCAGCTGCGATGTAATTGCTAAAATAGGTGAGATAGGATAGCAACCAGGGTACATATGGTCTCACCTGTTTATAGCCAAGTTGTGCCTGAAACCATGAAAAAAATAGAATCAGCACAAGATGCATTGCTCCTCGTAAGGAGTGGTAAAGCGAAGTGACACTGGGGGCTTCCCTACGCAGGTATGAGCGCTGTTCAGGTTCGAGCGGTATTATCTCAACCCCTACTGCAACTCAGACGTCAGTGACAACCCAGAGTCCGTCCGGGATGGTCAAAAACGATTCAGAGTCGGTCAACAGTAGGGATACCCGCAGCCATCCAGTTTATCACCATACCGATTATTTCAGTGATGCCAAACGCGTCATTTCCTGCAAGGTCATTCCCTTCTGTCGTTGAGGAGTGAATTACCAGCTGCAGGGCGTCCGTGTCTGCGATAGAGCCACTTTCATTATCACCAACAATATCATCTGTCTTCTGTTGTCCAGTGCTGGAATGGTTAGACATCGCGGCAAAAAAACCGGAAGACGACGAGGATAAAAGTACGAGCGGGATTCAAGGCCTGGCAGGATGGTATAAATACACTTGAATAACTCGGTTGCAGTTGTAACTCCGAAGTAAAATCACACAAAAAAGTTCGATAAGGAGCATCAGTTGTGATCTATGGACGGCTGCCGGCCCGCCGATGCGCCACCGTCGGCCCACCGACTGTCATGACTATTTATTGAACATTGAGATGCTGAGGTACAATGATTGAACATCCGGAAAAGGCAAAGCGTTTGACAGGCTTACAGGTTTGAGAGCTTTGATTAGGAGCCATTCTTCAGTGGAAACATCAGCCTTGAAGGACGTCTAGACATTGCTAATGTTAGCTTTGAAGTCCACAACAGCATGTGCAGCCAAACCTTGAGAACATCAATGCTCTGTCTTGTGATGTGACTGAAAAGTTCATTCTTTTCATCGAAGTGTCGGCCGAACATTTTTCCAGATTCATACACAGCGTGTTCGATCTTCACAGCAACGCCACCACCAGATTGAGATTTCTTGACGATCTGTGGGGCCAGGTTCAATGACACGATGTCACCGTAGGATAGGACAAAAAACTTACATCGAATGATTTGTGGTTGATCTCCAACGATGTGCTTGTCACGGGATTATGAGCAGTAGTACTTAGAAAGTCTGAAATGAAGGACTTACACCTTCCCAAGGTCGATAATGTCTTTCTTCTGTGTTGTCGGATCGACCGTGACAACACAAAGCGGAGTGCCCACTCGAAGAGTCCCATCCAAGATGTCAACTCCCAAAATAATCGGATCCCGTTTACAGAAGGCAGCTATTATCTTCAATCTGCAAGGCCATACCGCCTGCGGAGCCGCATCTCGTCGCTTTGCCTCCATGATGTCGTTGTTATAGGCAGTGAAGGCGTCAAACAGATGATAGATGATGTCGGCTATATGGCCAGTCAGAACAATCACCGAAGTAACAATGGAGATTAAAACCTTTGAACACTTTGATGCCCATTTCCTCAGCGAGCTTTTCTGTATCTTTGTCCACTGGTACGTCGAAACAAAGAATGACTGCGAGCTCCTTGGCCTTTTCTAGCATTGTGGCAGCGCGCATAACATCTTTCTTGTGTACGGGACCGATATTAATCCCCGATACAGGAATTTTGCTGACTTTCAAGAAGTCGAGCAACGCTTCGAGAGATCCCAACGTACTGGCTTGCACGCAAACTCCACGACCTGACTTGTCAACAGAGTTTAAAAGCGTGGTGAGGTCTGTCATGACCTCGTCGACTAAATCCTCCTCATCATCGTCTGGTCCAACAACAAGGAGCCGTGAACCTGCAACAGCTTTATCAAGGTCAGGAGCAACAAGCTTGACGCCCAGTGCTGCCTTGACTTCTTTGTGGTGAACATATGCTGACTACGAAGAATATAAGTTCCACTCTGGAAATACCAAAATTGTATACTTGCCTTGATTCGTAGCTCGCGAAGCGGCTGAGGCGTTAACAACGCACGAACCTGAGTAACAATCGGGCCATTAAGACCGCATACAATTATTTTGTCACCTTCACGTAGGATACCGTTGGACAAGACAACATCAATTGTCGTGCCCAAGCCCTCTACTACCTTCACTTCGAGGACGGTACACTCCAGCTCCGAGAGGTACATCAAGCGATCACTCATGCGCTGCTGGGTAAGATTGACCAATAGCATGATCATGTCGGGAACGCCTTCCCCAGTGATAGCAGAGGTAGGTACCAGAGAAACATTGCGGGCAAAACTCTTGTTCTCGTAGTATAAGACTGCGTTTAAGCCCTGTTCTGCAAAGGCGAGGATGGTTTTTTGTACACGATCTTCGAATTCTCGTTGCACAGATCGCTTTTGCTTCGCAAGTGATTCTTGGAAGGCACCGTCGGGTGTTTCTTTCCAGCCGTATAATCGGTCAATCTGCAAAACGAAATCGGAACCAAACACCAGAGAATGTTAAGTAGATCCACCTTGTTAAGGGCCACGATGAACGGTGTTTTTTTGTCTTTCAATAGCCTTAGAGACTCCAGAGTTTGTGGCTCAAGGCCGTGCTGGAATAGGGAATGAGGAAAGATCTTTAGCAGAAAATTAGAGCGCACCATGATATCTACCACCAAAATCGCGATGTTGCATAGAGAACTTCCGCGGCTACGCAAGTTGGTGAAGGATTCGTGTCCGGGAGTATCGATAACCAACAATCCAGGGATCTTGTATTCTTGAGAGTTGTCCTGATATCATTGTTCAGAAAACAGGAATCGTTAGAACATTCAAGTGACCAGCCTTATTCATTACTGCAGTCTTTGTCTTTATGGCATCTAACGGGAAGTACGTGGCACCGATTTGCTGGGTAATACCGCCTGCTTCGCCTTCTTGTACATTTGTTTGACGGATCTGAAAGGATGAGTATGACAGACAAAGACATGCCAGCAAAACAACAAACCTTATCCAAAAGTTTCGTTTTACCGGTATCAACATGTCCGAGAATACAACAGATAGGACTGCGAAGGTTATCTTTCTGATCTTTACTGTGCACTGCAGTGGCAGCCGCAGGTGTCTTAGCTGGTCTCACGTGCGCCTGCGCTGTCCTTGCATCTGCTTGCGTCGCGTCGGGTAGATCCTGGTCGACTTGAATGTCCGTTTGGATTTCTGGTTGTTCTGGTTGCGTCTCCTCCGAGTCAACACTTTCATCTGATTCGTCCCCGCTGCTTGCATCCCACTCATCCTTCACTCCGTCCAACTTGGCCTCCTCAATAGCGGGCTCGACATGCGAAGGGGCGGAAGTTTCGAGGATGTTGTCTGGAGTTTCCGGTCTCGACTCAGGGGTAGGCGAACCTGTGGCCTCCTTGGCAAGAGGGCCCTTCTTCTTCCTATTACCGAACGCGACCTTCTTTGACGGAATACCTGCCTGTTGTTGCAGCCCTTCAATCTGAACACCTGATGCAAGGAGGGCCTGCCGACGAAGCTCTGCGGCTGCCTTTTCTTCCTTCTGTTTCTTCGTCATGTATCGACCCTCCTTTTTGGCCAGCTCAAGCTTGGCCTGAAAGGCCTGTAAGCAAAATTACCTTTGTGGCGAGATGTTGGATCATACCTTTTCCTTCTCTTTCTTCCGTTGTTTCTCCTCTTCTTTGCGCTTTGCCTCCTCTTCCGCTCGTCTCTCCTCCTCTTCTATACGTTTCCGTTCCTCCTCCTCCAGTCTTCGCGCCTCCTCCTCCAGTCGTTTCTTCTCCTCCATCATGGCCTTCAAGGCACTGAGGCCGCCTTTAGCCTTCTTTGCAGGTGCGGGAGTTGGGGCAACGGCAGGAACGACGTCCTCATCTTTCTTTCCTTTCTTCTTCTTTTTCTTCTTCTTTGTGTCCGTCTCACCTGCCCCTGCTTCTTCACCATCTTCGTCATCATCAAGTGCTGTTGAAGTAGTGTTATTTGCAGGTGCAGGAGGCGACAGAGTCGGGGCAGCGGCAGGAGCGGTGTCCTCATCTTTCTTCCCTTTCTTCTTCTTTTTCTTCTTCTTTGGATCCGATTCCACAGCGTCTACTCCTTCACCGTCTTCTTCGTCCTCGGGGGCTGTAGCAGTGCCATTATGTGCGGGTGCGGGAGTTGGGGCGGCGTCAGGAGCGACATCATCGTCGTTCTTCCCTTTCTTCTTCTTCTTCTTGGTCTTTTGGTCCGGCTCCGGGAACTCGTCCTCAGCTTGTGCGGTTTCGTAAGCGGGCAGGCGATCATCACCAGATTTCCCGATCTTGTCATCGATAGCGTTATAGTTCTCCGCTGATACACCAGCAGTCTCCCTGACTCAGAATTCGCTACTTGAGACAACTGGGGCAGATTGACTCCAATAGGCTCACCAATAATCGTCATCGTTAGCCTTTCCTTTCTTTCCTTTGTTTTTTGGCGGCATGATTAATACGATCGCCAATCGCTTGTACTAGTAGAGAAGAATTTGGGCTGAGGGATGTAGACTTTGACATCTAATCAGTGTATCAAACAAAGCAGGCAAGTAATTCTCACGTTCGTCGACTCTTGCCTTGGCACTATTTTCGTAGCTATGTTTCTACTCGAGAATTGCAATCACGGTGTATGACTTGAGTCTTGCAAAGGTCACGATCATCACCTGGGTCATCCCACCCGCATCTAGGTTACTACAGGTAGGATGTCAGGCTGCGTCTACACATGTTGTCTCACAGAGAAATAATCCAGGCAGGAAGGCGATCTACTGAACTTGATTTTTGGGATTCTCTGAATTCTCAAAGCCTGCCAAGCTGCTCTTTGGCGAATAGACCCCCTTGAATGAGCATAGAAAACATGGTTTGACATGTCCGCATTGTCGTCAGCGTCGAAATTCTCGCCATATGGACCTCCAATTCTTCCTTGTCGCAGCGAGTTCTATGTCTGCTATCGACTATGCCATCCTGGAGGTTTGCCTTTATTATTGGTGTGCGCAGTGCTGATTTCGTTGGCCAAGCTTTTTACGCGTGCGGTGCAAACATGAGTCATGTGGGCTCTCGTATATGCCACGATGCAGAATTCTGAATCAGCAATTGAGCCAGTCATAACTGAGATGCTCACCTGATCTTCGCTCACTGCCGGTATTGTTGACGTGATTCGTCGATTTAGACCAGTGTTGCATAGTGGTCGATGAGGTTCAGCAACATATGATCCCGCAGAGCAATGCAACCAATGTCGATGTTTACGAGCAGCAGTGATGTAATCGCATCTGACGGATTGAAATTTTATTGTTTTTTGTTGAGCTAATTTCATTATGTATCAGACGCTGATCGAAAATCTTGCATGTAGTACCAGGATGCCGGGACTTTTTTTTCTGGGAAACACTTGTCGAGAGTATGTTATTATTAAGGGAACCTTGTAAGTAATATTGATATCAATCTTCGTAGAATAATGCTGATACATACCAAGTATTACATTCTTCTATGACACGAGTCGGTCCGCAATGAAATAGTCAACCAATCATTGATTTGCTGAGTTGGTATTTCTTCACATTGCCTTGACCTATGCTCGGGGTTGTTTGCAATGTTCTATGATGTTCCATGTGAGTTCAATTGTTCGTTTCTTTTGTTACATTGCAAACCGCGCTTGCATGCTGTCATTTATGTAATAACTTATTCCGTGGCTCCACATCTCCAAGGTCACGTTCCGCATAAATAACGCATTCGCATTCTGCATCCTTCGTCATTCTTCAGAGGCCTTGGGAGTGAAACAGCCAGTCTCCAAAGCTCCGGTGCAGTCTCCGAATACTGGGTACGTGTCCCATTTTTTTCGGGTGCATAAAGTTGTGTTCCAGCTATTCGGTTGTCGTACTTCCCGCATGGCAATGCAATTCGTGTGAGTTCCATAAGGTTTCGTGTGAGTTCCTTGGCCTCTACAGAGCTCCATATGCTCACGGAGAGATTGACATGCATGCTATGGATGTGGGTGCAGTTCACTGTGTCTGTGTCAACTTACTTTACAATGAACGGATCCAGCCTGTGCTTCCGGAGTTGCTGAATTACCGATCACCATTCCACCGGCCTCTACATATTCTGGACTTGCGATGTCCCTAGCTACATCAGTCATCGGTATGACTCAGTGTGAGTGTGTCTTGTGTCCTGACACGCAGCACGCATGTTGTAAACCATAGTACATGTTCAAGTACGTCAAATGACACGTCTATACAATATCAAAGACAGCGAACGCCAACAAAGTAGTTGAACATAATTTTAAGGTTTCGATCGATCCGAACAAATAGGCCGAGTGTTACGATTATCTACACCGCGATGCCGCGACGGGCTCGGGAAAATTCCCCAATTCGATAAAAAAGCAATCGATGCCGCCATAGAGTCCCAAAACGGTTCTGTATTGATTGCCAGTACTGAGGATCTGACTCTTTGCTCCGACGACCAGTCAAAGTATTACACCTTCACCATGGGCCTACTCACGATCATTCGTAAAAGCAGGCAAAAAGAACGGGAGATGAGAATTCTCTTCCTGTACGCCATCCGCAGCTCTCCGAGTTTATTCTTCCCACTCAACGACCGCGCAGAGGATTGGATAATGCTGGTAAGACGACCATCCTAAAAAAGATCAATGGGGAAGACATATCCAGCGTGAGCCCCACGCTTGGATTCAATATCAAAACGTTCATTCACAGAAAGTGAGCCTGGTAACTCAACTTGGATTTTTCTCTGCAACTGAGAGAATTCTTCTCTGTTTGATCGGCGTGATGCCACGCGTCACAGATACACTCTCAACATTTGTTAGTGAACAGACCCCCCTTATGCTTTTCTCGTGACGGAAACATCTTTGCTATCAGGGGATGTAGGCGGTCAACGAACGCTTCGACCATACTGGCGCAACTACTTCGAACAAACAGATGCCATTGTTTGGGTAGTCGATTCAGGGGACAGAATGCGAATGCGGGACTGCAGAGAAGAGCTACACAACCTTCTTCTCGAAGACGTAACATATGTTCTTTACGCTTGTTATTGACAGCAACTGACCAAATCGTGCGCTAGCGGTTATCTGGAGCTTCTCTCCTCGTCTTCGCGAACAAACAAGATATACATGGCTCGATGTCAGATCTTGAAATCAGCGAGGCCAGCTTCCTTACCATTCAGACGGCCTCGAGTGATGCTGATGAGTCCATCCAGGCACTGGATCTACCTGGCATCAAATCTCACAACTGGAAGATCTGGTCGTGCAGTGCAGTTACTGGTCTTAATCTGATCCAAGGCCTCGACTGGGTCGTTGAAGATGTAGCTCACAGGCTTTACTACAGTTCGACTAGTTTCGCGTAATGTTTTTTCCATCTCGCGCGCACGAAAATCTGGAAAATCTGCTTGTGAATGTGCTTCTTTCACTGAGACGCATAGACCATGTCGATTGAGCGCCGCATGACGGTCTAGGTCTCATTTCCGCAGCGTGCAACCGAAACCGCGACCCTATTCTTTAGACGGCCCACATTATTTCCTTGCAGAGAAGGAGCGGGGGTGTCGGGCGAACGGCTTGGTAGTATGACACGGCCTACCCGTATGGGTATAACTTTGAGAGAAGCAAGCTACTTCCTTGGATTTATCTCCACGAATGCTCGTTTCGATTCCTGAAAGTTCAGTGATTGTACTGGTTAAGAAAAAATTATTTATCCACTGCGATTGCAGCGCTGCGTGCAAGTCACGTTCTCACTCGTTGGCATCCCTAGCGCATGCTTTAGGTAGCAGGTAACCGCACACGTAAAATTTGACAGGGAGTTAGGTCTTCAGAATCAACGCTTCAGGATTAGTGCATGAGATTCGAGGGTGCGTACTCTCAGGGGATACCGAACCTTCAGATAATCAGATTGTCGAGGCATCTTCACTGGTAAGACTCAAAATGTCAGTGCGCTTGCAGATGAACCAACATTCCGAGTCGGCAGAATGGGGCAGATCACCTGTGGTCCTACTTGATTGTACCGTGCAATCACCTACTGTGTTTACCCACCCCATTGCATAGCTTCAGGTGGATATTCGCTTTTCCTGAATCAGACTAGCTATCATAGAAGTTCACGCTGTGCATTACGCATTTATGAACGATAATCGGATTGTCATGAAACAGCTACTCATATCGTCATATCAGCCCGGATCAGCCGGTGCATAATCGTGCCTGGGTAAGAACCATGTGCATCATAGGGCATTTTGCGAGATGCACGGGCAAACTTGAGCGAACTTCAGGTTTGGATTACGAGAACATAACGGCGAACGGTCGACTCTCGAATTCAGTACATGGAGTGTAAAGACTGAAGTTTAAGATTGAAAATCTAGACTAAGACAAAGTGTACTGGTTGAGTGGAAACTCTGAGAAGACCAGACATATATCCAGAACATCACTAGAGTTCTTGACGATCATTTGGCGATGCGCTCTGTCAGGGCCAACCTGGGCAGTGTTCAAGGATATGAAAAACACGAGGGATCATCTTTTATAGAACATCGAAAACTTGGCGGATAATCGATTTAGGCAGGAGTTGGTATCGAGGCCAGGGATGGCTAGGGTCACGGCGATCCATTGCATTGTAATGCGATGATCGTACTCCGTTGCCCGTTGCCCTGCCACGGGGCGGATGGGCGGCAAGTGCATCAAAGATGAGAGGCGCAATGGAGAGCAAAAGACAGAACGACGTTGGACTAAGATGTGAGGGCAAAGTGCATTGACTTTAGTGTGTTTGACAGACGACCCTGGGCGACATAACATCGGTTAAGAACAAAGTTTAGGCTTTCCGGGCCCCCGGGGGGAAGCCGGATCACGGTGAGCTGGGCCGGCTGGTGCTGACCGAGCGGAACAAAGTGATGGTTGGCTTGAACCAACCTTCCGATGCGGTTGCGGGTACCTAACGAAACGTCATATTGCGGAAAATTATGATGGAGATGTTCTAACAGGGATATGTGGCACCCTAGGAGGAACGTGTACTAAACAAGGGTCAGGACCCACTAAATGCGTGGTGGAGCAAACAAAGATCAAACCCGATAAGGGATGGATGGAATGGAATGAGGGGAGAAGGGCCGTGTTTGGGAGAGCACAGGGAATTTACGGGTAGTAATGGTCCGTTGGGAGGAATGGAGTCATATCAACTGGGATCGGCGAGTT